CAGGTAATCCTGAACAAGAAAAACAACTCTTTTTCTTCTTCTCTTTTAAAATTTTGCTATAAAGGAAATTAGTAGGGCAAATGGTGAAATCTGGGTAAGGTGTATATAGATGAAGTAAAAGTTTATCAGTGTTAATCCCCTCATTTTTATCATTGCACTGTAGTTGTGTAACAGAAAGTTCTTGTTTTTACATTTTCAAGGGGAAACAGATATCATGGCTGCAGCATACTTGCAAATGTTTCAGAAATACACACATACACACCAAGCCAGAATAACAAAGCAAATGCAGCAAAATGTTAACATCTGGAGAATTCGGGTGAAGGGTATACAGAAAGTCTTTGTACTATTTTTACAACTTTTCTGTCTGATATTCTTTCAAAATTTTTAAAAGTTAAAAAATAAAAAATTGATTCTTCTGAGGCCACTGCCTTTTTCCTGACTGCTCTGGGCACTGCTGGCTTCAATGCCAGAACGTTACTAAGGGAGTAGGGAAAATAGCCACCGGGTAGACTGGGAGGACTCAGCCCTTTCTTCCCACCTTCATTCATTTATATGGAGTTGAGATATAAAAATGTATATGAGAAACATTCATGAAGACTATCAAAAGTTCCAAGAGAATGTGTTTATCACTTTTTTAATCCCCAAATGAATTCAATACATTAATAAAAACACTAACATGGGTAAGCCAAAAAACCAGACCAGCTGCTGACAAGTCAATTCCAACTTATGACGATTAACATGGGTAGGTGGTCAGAAATCAGTCCTTCTTACCTGATCACTACGAAGCAGAGCGCGCAGGGCGGCCTCTCTGCAGAGAGCTGTCAAATCTGCGCCAACATAGCCAACTGTCATTTCTGCAAGGCGGCCCAAGTCTACAAGACTAGAGACAGGCATCTTTGAGGTAATCACTTGCAGAATTGCCTTTCTTTGTTTAAGTGTGGGAGTGCCAATGATAACCTATTTGCAAAGCAAAAAAAGAGAGAAATTAAAGCTTATATAGTTTTAAAATTATGTATTTTTATCCTCACAAATATGTGCAGTAATTTAATGAACTCTTTTGGAACTAGTACTAGACACTCTGAAGCATATCTCAGAACATATAAAAAGTCAGGAATCTACATCCTAATTTTCCAGAGGACTAATTAATACTGGCCAGGAAGCTGCACAACGAAAATTGTATATAGCACTTAAGTTTTTATTTTCAAGAACCTACCATATTCTAGGAGGCAGAGAGAGGGATAGAACAGTAAATTAGTCTAGATCCCACCCATATGGAGTTTATTCAGCAGACAAGTACCAGAGGGTGCAAGAAAGTCACTCAAATCCTTGACAGATTAAGTTAAAAGTATGCACTTATCCGTAGTTTGTTTAGAATCCTACCACAAAGTTCAAACATCACTTCAATTAACCACTAAATTTAAAACTATTTAATAGAAATCAAGAATAAATTTAACACTAACGCCCATAAAAAGGGTTTGCTTTGAATATGTACCCTCCCTGGCAACTCAGAAAGCAATTGTTGGTATTTTTTTCAATTGCGGGACAGGATGCTGGCGTTCTTACAAGGAAGAGCTAATGCCTGCTTTAATTTACTTCTTCATTGCTCTCCCCTTTTTATTTCAACACACTTATTTCTTGAGGCTATCCTTCTACTTTAAATTTCCATTCCACCTCCATGCGAGTTAAATATGCTTGTGGCCGACCTAGTTCCCTCAAGAATTAACTTTACTGATGATTATAGTACGTACTCAATTCCAGGACATGTACAATGAAAACTAATCCCTAACAGACAATCGAGTCTTGGGGAAAAACTGGTCCTGGCTCACAGATCTTATTTGGCCAGAGAACGCGTTCTCTGCATTACAAACAACCCCACTCCGACCTCAGCAACTTCCAAAAAGCGGACAAGCCTAGGGGCAGCCAACC